ACAGTTCTTATAACGCAGAAACGTGCCTTCTCCCTGAAAGTAGTTCTGACGCCAGTCAGCATTTCCAGACCAGCCATTTCCAGCAGACATCTTACTGACAGATTATTTGTAACACAGGCTCTTTGGACTGTGATCACAAAAAAGTAGGTTTTGATCAGTAAAAAAAAAAACCCAGCATGAATTCCAGCACTGATTCATCACAGCTGAGCTTAAAGGCTCACTCTTCAAAAATCTTTATAAGAAGAATCCATTTATGACTAAATGGAAAGTCATTTAAGTATCAACTTACAAATCCCAGGGGATGCCTTTTCCTACCTGCCTGCACAGACCAGCAGCTCAGACAAGCCTCTGCAGCCCAGGCACTAAGACGCCAACACTCCACTCTGTGCTGCAAGAGTTCAGCAGAACAATTAATGCCTTTCACCAACAAAGAGACTTCATCCAAGAGCGCTACTGTCCTCAGTATCATGAAGCTAGGGTCACAGGCTCAGGAAAGTAATTTTTCACTGTTTTAAAATTGACTAGAGGAAAAAAAAAATATCAGTGAAGTTCAGGTTTAGAGAGCTCCTAGTTTGATGTTTAACACAATGTTTTATTCCCCTTGTCATTTAAGTACTCCTCATATACAGACCGGATACTGTATCACTGAAGTCTAAAGTTTCATTACTGGCTTCATTCACAGCAGATTTGAGGACCTGCTCATTCTTTTAATGAGATTTAAATACAGCTACCAGAATGAGGATATATTTTTGTTTGAAAAGAGTAATTAAATAACTTTGTTTCTACAAGGTTTGAAAAAGGTATCTAGAACTGCCTGTAGGGAATACATATTTATATTTATATCAAGGGAGATCACAGGGCTGGGATAATTATTCACTTCTCTTAAATCCACCAGGAACCACATCGCCTTAGAAACCTGGGGGTCCATTTGTCACCTCTGAGTAAAGGCCAAAACACCCTTATTTATCTTTATAATTTAAAGATTTCAGCACAGGATTTTCACCCTTGAGTTTCAACAAACTGAGTTACACTTGACAAAATATTCCAGCATTTTTCCTCTTGGAAGAAATGGGAGAGATGTCTCAGACCCCAGCAGCAAGGAATGCACATACTAAATAGTTACCAGAAACACATGAAGAACCCAGTGCTGAGTTTTCAGCTGGTGCTGGAATAATATAACCCCAAATGACACCAGACATCTGGAACTTGTCTGTAGTGACAAACTCTTTTCAGACTTAGACAAAATCAAATAAGAAAAAAGAATGAGATGGAAAAAAAAGCTCTAGAGACAATAGATTTTGTGTTACTGAGAATAAAGTAATTTCATCCCCACAGACCAGTTTCAAGTCATGTTTTGCAACCATCTACTGAAGAGGCCATGTGGCTGCACTGTGGGTTCTGAACCAAAACATCTCACAGCTTTAAGGTGTACTACACTGAATCCTGAAATTCATTTTTGATTCACGCTGAAGATCTTTTTATAGGCTAGCTTCAAGGGGTAACTTTGGAAAGCTCTTCACTGAAGTAGGAAGGCAAAAGGTCATCTATACAAGGGATTTTAAACATTTCACCATAAACATAAAAGTTTTGGCAATTTTTGAGACGGGATCAGATGTTAGTTAGCACACTGAACTCAACCCAAGGAAATAGCAACTGCAAATCATGGTGACTGACAGCATTTGAAAGCCAAGCGTCCTTTGATGCAGAGAACATTTTTCCCGAGGAAGTAAGGGGACAATTACAAACATAAAATAGCAAAACCCTACACCAACAACCGAAGTGACATTCCAAAGTACTGGGAGGCTCTGTGTGCAGGCGTCAAACAGAACAACCCACCTCCATTTTAAAACTTGAAATGTCAATTCAAAATTCCCAAGTAAAGTCTACAGCAATATGCAGAACCCCTCAGACACAGCAATGAGCCCCTGGACTGGGAAACACCGAGAGCAAGAGCTAGGCCTAAAAACGCGAGGGCAAACTAGGCATTTCTGAAGGTTCTGAGAAAGGAGAACTGCACTGGAGTACATGTCCAGTTCAAAGAACAACACTGGATCAAAGCTACTCAACTCATGATCTTTAAAATAAATAACAAATAAAGCAAGACAAATATAGTCAGGATGAACTGAGGAAGGCTGAGAGTTGAAACAGCTACACTTAACTCGTTGCACTCCATGAGAGACTTGTGTTCCTGGACTCGGCTGGAAGCAAGAGGTGCCTCCCAATGCCTGTGGAGGCATTCACTGTCCCACAGAGGGATGCTGCTTCTGCCTGTGCTTCCTCCTGCTTCTGCTGATCTAAACACAAAGTGGTGGAAGACCCACTGTTCCATTTCAATGTCAAAAACATTACACTAAAGAATTAAGAATTCAGTAGACAGTACTTGGAAAGAACTTTTTAGACAGTATTTAAAGAAAATAAAATCTATAAAGCTCCTTTGAGAACACGAGAACAGAAAAACAATGGAGTATTTTAATCTACATTTTTGCACATTTAACATTTCTCTAAAATGCCGAAATTTTAAAAGGAGAATCACATCCCTGTCTGGATTTACTGCACCAGAAGCGTGGCTAAAGCTCAGTCATTCTGTGCATAGAAGAAACTGCCACAAAATTAAACAGGACTATGAATATTCAATATTGTCTAAACCAGAAATTCTTTGTCCCAACACACTAAACTCAATGTATGTTTAAGTGAGAATAAAATGTGGCAAAACCAAAACAACAGATTTGAGTGAAGGTCTATTCAGGAGATTATCTGCTTTTCCTCCCGACACATCTTAGACTAACACACCAGGAAATGGAGCACTGAACTCAACTCCTTCCAAGCTCATCTAAAGGGCAAAAAAAAAAAAAAAAAAAAAAAAATCTGAGTTCCTTGAAGTCAGGTATTTTCTGCTTTCAAACAAACATGGTTTTTACACCAAATCCTTCTAGGTTAGAGCACATTCCACAAAGCTTTAAATTCTTCTCTGAGTGAGCTTCTGAACTGTCACTGCTGGTTATTACTAGTAGGCACAGAAATTCCCATTTTAATTAGAAACTTTATTTTGAAATAGATTACACAGTTTACATGTGAAGTGCTTTCAATATAAGATATTTCATAACATTGTGCTGAGCAAAATGGTTGACCAATTTCCTTGAAGCTCTTCCAGTTATGTTTTTTTTTTTCATTAAAACTATCCTACAGAACTAAGATGCAACTTAGGCATTTGAATTCAGAAGCTAATTACTACGTTCACCTTAGGGAGAAAGTTAACTTTTCTAATTGACTTTGTGTTTCAATAACGATGTTAAGCATTTGGCATAAGACTGAAAGAAACCTGACTCCCAATTAAAACTGAATTCACCACAGAACTTTTAAAAAAAATTCCTCCTGATCAAACTACTTTGTTAATAAGGCACAGCCAGACAAATATTTATAAAGACTGTCTACCAATTCAGTTTTACCTGTACAGCCTTCTTGCTGGTCTGTCAAAAGTAATCTGAAGGTTGTTTTCCCTGTCTGCTGCTGAGACGTTCCAAGAACAAGGCAGAGCAATAAGGCAACTAAAAGAACAGGCATGCAAAGGAGTTTGGCATTTGGGAGGGATTCTGAACATTTTCAAAATAGTTCACTTTATAAATGGAGCATTCACCTGCTATTATTAAAATGGTGGCCAACTCTGATAAGGAAAAAAGAAGTGGTGCAAGCAGAGGGTATTTTAATAGGAATAAACAGGATTTCTGGTATGCTTTCAGCTAGGACCTCACATGCAGCAATTCCCACAACTTTCAGAGATAATCTAAATTGAATTCTGAAATTCCCCTCTGCCACTCAGAAAAGTTGAATGTACCAGGAGGTTTCTTGACAGCAGGTAAATAATCAGGGAATGAAATCTCCATTTAGATAATGGGCCAATATTGCATCCTACTTTGCATTTCTTATTAGAACAAAAGGAAGTCTTCAGGAATGACAACTGAAATAATTACATCATTTTTTTTGGCTGGAAGAAAGTTCAAGAATCCTTAAGATGTGATAATATTTAAAAAATATGAAACAATTTCTATCCACAGTCAAAGAATTAAAAATAAAAATGAAAGATAAAAAGCAAAGCCTGACCTTCCTCTCCCAAATAGTCTTTGCAGAATAATTGCTTAAGCTTAGCACTGTATGGCTTCTGTGGCCTATGAATGCCAGATAGATAGTCTAAGAATTATCATTTTCAAGCTACTTTTTGTTTTCAATTTTAAGTAATTTCAAACAAAAACACTGCATCTGTTTCACTTCAGTAATCAAACTGAGCATAAAAATCATTAAAAGTATTTCTGATACAAATTTGTATCACATACTAAAAGATATTACTATATAGATAATTGTGAAAAAAAAATAAGACCATACAAAAAGTTTTTCAAATTCTTTTGGTGAACTCATAGTAGAGGTTTAAGATTTAAAAAAAAAAAAATCTGTAAATGAAGTAGTCAACAAATGTTGAATACAAAATACATTCTAAAGTATTTTATGGAATGGCTGAATTATCAAGCACAAGAACCGAAGATAAAGAATGTTAATGACAAGCAGCCACATACAGAACACAAAGCAATAAGTTTAAATCAGACTATTTTGGTTTGTGTAGCCCTTTATTAGCAACTAAAATAGAAGATATCTGTTGTACATCACGGGTAGTAACTGACTATACTGGAGTTTTATTATAGTCTAATACAGGATAATTTATAAATGCGTTGTTTTCCTTTTTTTTTTTTCTTTTATTAAAAAGCTTCCACCCCCTTTTTCCGTTTACAACTTGCAAAACTATTCTGAAAGCAGAGTATATGTGCACAGGTCTGCAAAGAGTGCAAATTTAGGATATGGTAAATGCTTTACATGTTGTATTTGTAAGGACAGTCTACCACCATGCCTTCATAGCCATTATCTCTTCCCCCACCAAAAAAAAAAAAAAAAAAAAAAAAAAAAAAAAAAAAAAAAAAAAAAAAAAAAAAAAAAAAAAAAAAAAAAAAAAAAAAAAAAAAAAAAAAAAAAGCACAAAAAAAAGCACAAAAAGTTTTGATACCAGCCTTCCTTCCATTGTCCTAAACAAGAAAGCATTTTTAAATGAGTTGAAACTACGGAAGGACTACACCTACTAGAAAAGAACAGAGTTCTATTAGTTTGAGGTTTCAGTATACCCAAAGACCAGGGACTGTATCTTTGTAAGGGCTAGGCTGGGACCCCGTATACAGAGTGTGTGCAGGTGCCATCCCTGAGCATTCAGTGGTTCAGTGGACCATAAGCGCTCCAGCTGCGTAACTCACTGAGCTGTCTTGCCAGTTTCGACACTGGCTTGACTGAGCGTAATTCAAAAATGAAAAGCTCATATTCATTCCATTCTTCTGGAGCTCGTTGATAGCCTAAAGAGAAGGGGAAAAGAAAAAAGGGGGCCATTTAGAAAAGCTATCAGTGAAATTACAACATTTTCTAGTTCTCAGACCTTTCCACCTCCCCTGAAGGTCCTCATAAGCTCATAATATAAGCACCTCCCCTTAATTTGTGGACTTAACCCATTTCTGTGCATTTTTGTTCACTGATGCTCCCACCACTGCATTATGTATATCCATGCAGTTCTTTGAAGGAATACTAAACAACCTTTCATAATAGATCCTTTAGAAACAGTGCTTTCAGTTCCATGGGGAGTTGATACAGAGACAGAGACGTAACAGAGAAAACCCCAATGCTATTAACACTTTTTAGATTGTGTTTCTTCCATTAATGAAAAGTAACGTACAAGGATAACTTATTACACCGTGACAGTTGTCAAAAGCAAATAAACAGAATTTAGCTCTGATTCACTGCAAAACTAATCATTATCTGAAGGTAAGAGTTGGGTATACTTGCAGAGTTGTCATAGTACTGAATTTTGCATCCCCAATATTGATATTGCTCATACAAGCTTTTATGGGTTCCTCTTTAAAAAGGTTCCTCTGTATGTTCTCCACACAGACTTGAATTTTAAAAAAACTTAACATGCTTCCTGTTTTAGATTTGATTTAGAGTAAAAATAAGTGAGATTCAATCAGCAATATGACAAATCTGCAGCACTCCAGCAGTGCTGTAAAGCAGCTGTGGACCAAATTTAGAAAACTAAGTTAAGCCAGGTTTATGTCTGCACTGCATCACCAAAGCAGAATATGGTAACTAGAAAGTACCAGTTAATCTGAATTCTAATTGCTGTTAATTTATGAGTTAATGGTGCACTGCACTAATACTTACAGAGGCAATCTCTCACCATATTTGCAAAAGTCAAAAACGCTGCCAGACATCACAAGGCACTCACAATAGCTAGCTAATAGCAATACAGAAAAAATATACAGGTGTTTGTAAGTACCAGTTTGAAGAGTAAGTAAGTACTGTTTCAGGGAGATGGATTTATTTGTTCATTTTTTTAAGGTCAAGAGAAAGAGAATGATTGCATATTATTTAAATTCAAAAGGAATGTGGTACCTCATCTCCCTTAGGGAACTGAAAACTCTCAGCCCTTTTAAGAGCTTACATCTGTCTATATGCAAGACACGGAAATTGGAGACCTAATTGAGAACGCTTGGAAAAATAAATTAATTCAAGGCTTGTCATTTTAGAACTAAGGAATACTGCAGCAGTACTGTGTTTAAAACAGATGTAAGCATTTTTCTAGAAGTTACATTCTTCAGCAAATCAAAAGTTACTTACGTTTAATAACACTCCAATAGGATGTCTTCCACATATTGTATTATGGTATTTCTTCAAGTAATTGCTAAAAGATACAGGATCTAGCTGCTCTATAATGCTCATACCCTGAAAAAGAATTGTTAGCAATAATTACATAAGACATTCATAAGCAGGATGCTTATTTATCACATATTTATTTCAACAGAACAGTTCAGGAGGAAAAACCCTTTACTTTGTACCGAGGATATCAAGGAAACCTCAGCATGTGAGCTCTAGCTTGTAGTCATGTTGTTTCCATCCCTTGCCAAAATAAGAGTGCAGGAGCTCTTCCAAAGCTGTCCATGATCCACAGCTCTGTGAAGCTATCTTTGCAGATACCAGTGAAGCTCACGCTAAAAGAGCTCCTTCTGCAGACTAGCTGATCCCCACTCTCCAAGAGTATCCTACTTCCATAGGATTTGGTACAGCTACAACCAGACAAGTTTACTAAAAAGGCAAAGCAGGAAGAAGTCATGTCTCCATCTCCTCTCCCTGGTAACAGAGCTCAGGGCCAACCACTTCCTGGGACTCCTGTGGGTCCAAAAACCCTGGATAAACTATCAAAAGACACACATGCAATTCACACAGAGCAGGTGTAATGTATCCTAGACGTATCAGGCATGCAAGGCAATTGTTCTGGGCATGGGCTGGCCATCTGCTCAGAACATAAAACAGACCCAAAACATCTCTAAAGCACTATGAAGTTGTTGCACCACAAAAACGTAAGAGCCAGGAGATGATGCTTCCACTTTACATGAGACAGTCACATATATACATCCTTTTCTCCATCCACAGGGAGACCCATGATCCCATGGAGTCATACTAAGAATATCAGCACATAGGAAAAAATACACACTTTGCATGGGAACAATGGGAGGTTGATATCAGAAAGAGAGATAATTTCTCCTAAGATTTCTGCAATTGCCCCAGCCCCTGACCCTACTTTTGGGAAAATGTGGGTGATAAAAGAAGAAACTACAATGGAGAAAGCAGTCAGTCTGAAGTCTCCACCTCAAGAGCAAAACCTTCTAAACACTCTGCAAGGGCGTTGGCTGATCTGGCAGATACACTAATTACTCAGACTGGATCACAGCTTACAACAGAGGAGCTGGAGATTCCCAGGAGAGTCAGGGAGAATTACAAAACAGCAACCATAACCACCATCTTTGTGTACTTTTAAATAAAAACAGACGTAAGATGAATTCATAGAGAAATAAATTTTATGGAAAAATAAAACCAAATTATGCTGATCAATTGCTGGCAAGAGCTCAGTTCTTCCAGGGTCATGGAGAGGGTGTTTGGACCCCTGGCTGGTAATTACAGCTGTTAATCACTCCAGATCTACAAAACCTAAGTGAGTGCCAAAAAACTAACGGTAGGTATTGGCTAACTAGCAGTGATGACATAGATATCATTACATTTCTAGAATTTACAAAGCATGTCTTTGGACTACCCATTTACTTGTAAATTGTACATGTCAATACATATGTTCTGCTAAAGAAAGCAGAACCAAACCTGACTACATACTCAAGTGAAACTAAACATGCATAAACTGTTCAGATACTGAACAGTTCATGAGAATAAATTTTATCTGTTTGTAAATCCTTTCACAACCTTTTAAAAAAATGAAAATGGCTGCTCAATTGAGAGACTTGTTTCATAGCTGCAAGTCACTGGAACATACTGGGCAAAGGCATTTGAGCGTTTGTCTCAAATGAATGGACATGGATTTATGAGAATGCCTAGTAAGCCTATTTCAATGCAAAGTTCAGCACTGCAAAACATTTAGAGCTAAGCAGTTCATCCCAGAAAATGCTAACGGAGTTCCATACATCACAGACTGGAGAAAATGCATAGGAAATGGGTATTAACAAATATCCTATAAGCATTCAGTTGTACTGAACTTTTCAATCTTTTGGATTTAAAAATTGTTGTGGCAGAGAAGCAAAGACTACCAAGCTCATTTCTCAGTCTAAAATGGTGTTGAGGAAGAAAGGAAACATTTTTGTCAGGTTGCGTTTTATTTTTCTAAAAAGTAGAATTATGAAGCTATTAATTTTCAGTATTTGAAACAACTCAGCCAGGCATGGTTTAGAACAGTTAAAACACATGACAAAACCCACATGATAAAAACGCTAATACAGTTCTGCAGTTTACCACATGGTTGTTATGGCATCACATAGAAATTCCATACCTCAGTTACTCAGACACTGTTAATGGAATCTACAATATCGTAGCACAGTGCACTTGATATGATTAAAACCAGTTACATTTTAAAATATCATCCCTTAATAGGATCAAGAATCTACAAGCTTACAAAAATTACAAAAAAACCCCCAAACACGCAAACCAATCTCCACCAACCTGTAGGTTTATTTCACACTATACTCCACTAACCCTTTGGCTGGTTAAATTAAAGCTCGTTATCAGTCACTTCAGCTGCTTTTTCAGACTTAAAAATATAAACTAGTAGCCCTCTAACGGAGGTAGAAACAAACTTGGTCTTAGTACTATCCAGTCCAACTATCTTTGCATGTGTGAGTCACTTGGACTAGAAGACAAACAACCAACAGGAAAATTACTGGCTGGGCACAGCACAAGGATCCGGGACCCAGGCAGAGAGTCACTGTCTTCCATTACACCCAGGTTAAGAAGCTTTCCCAGGTTGGAGCACTGTGGAAGATCCTGGCACACTGCAGTAGCGCTGCAGAAGCCACCAGAGTTCAGCAGTACATTAGAGCTACCTGAGAAGCCACCAGTGCTGAGCATGGCTCCTGCACAACCACTGCTGGTTGCTCCTGCACAGCTCTCCTCAGTGACTGCATTATTTCCCCCCATCAGCATTCAAGGTAACAGAATCCTTCCATTGACTCACGTGAAGCGTAACATTTCCCATATAAATTATATGCTCATATAAAATGAGCAATCTGGCAGTGAAGATTAAAGTGAGCCATCTGCATTTTCTGGCTGGTCATTATCAAGAATAATTACTCTTCAACAACATCTTACAAAATACTCCCCCCACTTTTATTTGAAAAGATGGTAGTTAGCAGGTTATGCAGTACAAACTATTGTATATGAGCTGACCAATAATAAATCTTCAGTTGAGGATTCTTCCCTAAGAGGTACACCCATTAACCATGAGGCTTATTTACTTCTTTTACTGTCACTTCACAAAGTGCATTGTGGTGACAGTGGTCATATCAACAATTACCATGGAGAAACAGATGTCTGCCTAGTAATATTTACTATGTATTTTTTCATGCTGGAGTCTAATGGCTCTAACTTAGAATCACAGCAAATAAAATTTCTCACCATAGTTACCAGCTTAGTAAAACTTCAATACCTAAAGTGTTCAGCAGTTTTTATGCACTAGGTGGGAAAATCATAATTCATCTATATACAAGGCTGGGTCCAAATAAGGAAGAGACCACTATCCTCCCACAAGGGCATTTCCAAGGCAAACTGATTTCATCTTAACCCAGAATGCCTTCCTTCTTACAAAGCGCTCAGTCGACTGCTTTCCTAGTTAGGTCCAATAAAATTAAGCCAGTTTTAGTACAGTTTTGTCTCAATTTTTCTCTAAGAGAGAGAGGTAGGTTACAACAGTACAAGTTTCTTTAGTACGCCAAATGACATAAAAAAATCCAACACTTATCTATGGAAAAGAAGAAGTAGCCAAATGCAGCATTAACAAAACGGAATGAATTCCTTCCAAAAGCTGGAGAAATGTGACAGGGAGACAGACTTTCATGGTACTGTGGATAGCCAAGTGTACCCACAATATTGCTAAAGACATCACTGAAATTCACCGAAAGCAAAACCTACTTTGTACAGAGTGTACAAAGAGTTGTACTTCTGAATACAGACTTATGTGCTCACACATGGCATGGCATAAACAGGTAATAAATAACCACAGTATACTCTTATACAGTATGTTTAGTTTTCCAGTTAAACTTAAGATTAATAACTATGAAAATACTTTTCCAAACAGTAGACACGATTTTCCATGTCACAAAAAAACGTAATTTCCTTTTGGCTGAATAACTACCAAAAGAAAGAGCTGGTACAGCAATGCCTTTCCTAAAAGTAATTAAATACCAAAGTCCAGTCTTTCTTGAAGCTTTCACCACAGAAATTAACAAAGGGAAACTAATGTTTGCTAATGCACCATAACCTGCTCTCCTGCAAAAACATTCAGAGCTGCAAAATCTGGGATTCTGTAGAAAAACACCGGTATTGATAGAGAAACCTCTCAACTAACTACAAGAATTATTAAAAATGGGATAAACCAAATGAAGAAAAGTTATTTACTGTTCCTATTCCAATGATGAGTAGTGGAAAAACAAAGAGGCTAATATGGATACACAGAGTAAAAAACTTAGAGATCCCTCCAGCAGATAGGATTTATTCCTTCAAGACAAGGAAAAAATTAATATGCCATGAACAACAACAGTTCTCTCTTCTAACGGGTTCTACAGAAGTTACTTATATGATGCAGACAGTTGTAAAACAAATTTTAAGGTTATGTATTTCCAAAAGAATTACTTTTATTCCAGGCTTGTATTTAGTATTCCTTTCAGCCTTTCACCAAACCCAGAACGAATTACGGTCTACTTCTCTTTCCCACCACATACTACAGAGTAAGGGGCAAGGGGAACACTACTACCAAGGATGGTGGTGACTCATTTTCCTGACCAGCGCAATCCCCTAGAGCCTTTCCTCCTCAAAATGGATGTTGCTGAAACCATTACCACAATCAACAATGCTGTTTCTGTACACAGGTATCGCAGCTATCAAACCTGAACTGTCACAATACTCCATGCATGATTCTTACTGACTCTCAAAAACATAAGAGGGTATGTGGACAGGAATTATGTGACACTAGGGCATTTTAGGTAAATGAACATGCATTTATTCTCATAAATTACTCTTACTAGATTATACCCGCAATATAATCGTGTGCACTCAGTAAAATGGAGGATACTAACTAAAAACAACAGCTAAGTTCTTATGGTGCTAAACAAAGGAAAATGATACATTCAGTAAAACAGCTAATCTATAATATTTTGTTAGAGAAATTTCTAAACTGTTCAAAGAAATGTAACGTACAGGAGAAATTTGTTAGTTAGTTCCACCAAATCTGAAAACTTACCATTTTATCTAGGTGCTCAATGGATCTATAAATTTCTCCTTGGGATTCATCATAGTAACTGTAACGGAACCTCTGACCTTGAAACAAAAATCATGTATAAAATAAAAAAGGGAAAAATTGTAGCTAAAACACTCCCTAGTACTTACTAAATATCTGAAAGTATAATATTTGTAAACTAGTAATCTTCATTTATTTTATACGTTTTAGCTTCACTGAGAAAATTCCAGGGCTATCATCAAGTAGCAGCCCAGAAATGAAAAAAAATACAGGATGGGCTATATTCCTAAAGAGAAACCTACTACGTAGAATTGACACTCCAGTATCACTTATTAACTGCCTGTTAATGCCTTGGAATCCAATTCTATAAATTAAAAAGTAAAGCAACATTTCGTTTCTCTGTCCTTCTTGGCAAAGTCAACCACGGAGTCAGGCTAGTTCTGCTTGCACAACAATACCCACAGTAAATGAAGGTTAAAAGAAAAAATTCATGATAATTCAATGAACAGTTCTAGATGGTTCATTAGCCACAACAGAACCCAGATCATTCTGATATATACTTCCACCTACTCCACAATTCAAAGATGAGTAAAATATGCACTTAATTATGTAAGTTGACCAAAGATGACAATGAAAAAAAGAAAGAAGGTCTGTTGTGTTATATCTTTCTAAAGCAGTCCCTTCCAGCTACTATCACACTTAAAAGAAAAATAGAGTGTTAAGGCAGGACAGAAGTCAAGGCTTCTGGAGTCTTTTTAGCTCTACCACCAAGATGAACTGATGAATTGGCATAAGTACTCCATCTGCTATCTTACCCAGCAGTAAAACATACAAAACTTATTTCTGTCAGAGGAATGTGGTCATGTCCAGTGAATTTTTAGCTACTTAGTTTTGCAAGTTGTTTGAGGTGCTTAAAAGAAGGGTAAAAAGAGCAGCAACTTCAATTACTACATTGCAACACTAAGGAGATGCATATAAACTCACACACCTTCACCATTTATTTCCTCTACTATACTGAAAACACATTATCACATCCATTTTTTTCACCTATCATTCCAGATTTCAAAAAATCCTTTTACTAAATTTATGAAGGCATTTAAGTTTCAAAAATACACGTACAAGAAGTTAAAATGTTCAATGTTTAAAAAATACATTATATGAAAATAACTACAAAATATTCAACATACCGTTATTATGAAGAGATATGAAACTTACCCCAATGGCAAAAGTCAGAAGAAACCACAAAGAGGTTACTAGGATCAGCTAGGTATTTACTGAAGAGTTTTCCAAATTCCTGCTCTTTTGACTCACTCAGTGCTCCGACCAACACAGGAATAATAGTAAACTCATCCTTATGGCTTATAAGCAAAAGAAAAAAGGTTGTAGTTCAAGTAACATCTGAATATTTTTCAGGCCTTGCTAACTGAAACTGCAGAATGTTTTAAAAGGTCACTATTGATCTGAAGACAGTAATTTGGTAAGGTCATACTAGGATGTTGTTTTAGAACCTCAAAGTACTTAAAATCCAGAAGACAACACACACCCCCAAACGCAGTATCTAACTTTGCTGCAAAGTGAAAACATCAGGCAAACAAAAAGAAAAGACACTGTGAAATTAACAATGAAATAAGATTTAGATTCAACCTGTATAGATGCTGCATGTTGGGTAATTCTCCAAAGTATATGAAACGTCTATGAAAATGCTCAGTGTAGTACCCAGGTGTATACTGATACTCCGGGGAACTTTCAAAATACAATGGAATAAACAATTAAAAAATAATAATAATAAAAAAAAAAAGATGGGGCATGTATGTGTGGGAACAACCCCCAACACAAATTGACAGTTTTTCCCTAATGATGACAATTTCTATTTCAAGTACAGGTCTGAAACAACAGGTGTAAACAGAACCCTGATTTCAAAACTGGTATTAAAGCTCCAAACAAACTTAAAATCCCACAGAAAACACCTATTAGTATTTGAATTTCTTTCAAAGATGCCTTGCAAACCTGGAGGGGGGAACAAAATTGGCCATCGAGAAAGAGTTAATATAGACATGCACTCATGAACCTGTTTTAAGTCAACGTAAACCTGCCTACAAGAAGTGTTATAATTTCATCATTCAGACGTTTGTTCTGCTCACAGTTTCTATTATAGCAACTTATCCTAGTCTCTGACCCTCTCCTTACCAAAATTTTTACTGGGGTTTGGCGGAATGTGAGCATTATATACCATATAAGGTATTCTATGCCATGAAATTCATTATTACTTCCTACTGCACTTAATATGTCGTTCAAACATTTAATGCACATAATGCTCATTCCTGTAGAAGTAAATAGCCCGAGTACCTTTCCATGGCTTTAGCAGTATAAGGCAAATGCATTTCAATACTGTGTTCATCTTCATCTGTCTGTAGGGACATGCGTTCAAACATTCCAGTCTTCCACAATTCTCCATAAACTGAAATGAATTAAAGATTAATTTTTACTACTTCATGTTTTTGAAAACCGCTACAAGTGCAAAAAGCAAGCTACAGTGCATCTTTATAAGAATACGCCCACTAGAACAAATTACTTGCCTCCAAGGGCTGTCATCATAAACCACTTGTTTCTGAATAAATTCAGGATTAAAATGATATTCAAGTCATTAAGATACAAATGTAATTGATTTAGTTTACAAAATAAGTATGTTAAATCAGCGAACTTGTTAGTATGTTGAGAAAAAAATCTGTATCATAACTGAAAATCTAAGTAATACAAACAAAACATGTTTGAAAAGATATGTGAATTTGCCCAGTCATTGAATTCTTATTTTCATAAACTGCACCATCATATATTATAAAAAAAAAAAAAAAATTGATCAGTGAAGCCACTGCTGGATGTGTTACTATTTAACACAATTTATTATTGACTGAATAATGAAATCTAGAGACAGCCAAGACTGATTAAGTAATCCACATCTGCAAGTTATGTTTTCTACTCTCAAGTGTACTTAAGAGTATTCAGAGTCATTCCTTCATTTTGAAAATTCTCCACTGCATGAAAAATTTGATATAGTGCTGTGCCTCCTTCTTTACTCCTTTCATAAAGGAGTTCTACAAAACCTTAAACATTTCTTACCTAAGGAAATTTCTGCAGGCACTATGTAGAAAGCCTGAATTAATCACAGTTACGATGAAACAATACATCTGTGCTAATTAGCCCTTCTGAAAAAGATACTGTATTATTTAGGTATACCTTGAAATGCATAAAAGTCAAAATATCAAATTTATCTCCATTGCACCTTTAAGCTTATTTCCGAAGACTGGTATTTCATAGATTAATGATTTTTAAGTTCTGCAGGTACTTTGCAAGGCAAAAAGTCACATGCAATAATGCATGTTCCTCTGTTATTCCTCAATCAGAAATCAAACTCAAACCAACTGAAGTACCTTTTTCCAGCCAGAACACTTCACAGAATAATGGGAAAGGTGTTTAGTGAGCTATTCTTTGATGGTAAAATTTTTTAATTTTTAAAACCCTTTTAAAGATCACTTGTCAAGAGGCACACACTCAAAATGGAAAAGAGAAGCAAAAACTGAGAATTCTTTACTTGTCAAGAGCAAGAGAGACATTATGGTTATAATATGACAATGCCTGCAGCAGCCAGGATCTTTCAGAAGTTAGCTCTGGTCGCAGTAAAACCTGATTTGCACTTGTGTGCCACTTAAAGCCAGAAATGCCCAGCAACAAGAAAGTCCTCAGCGCTGGAGTACCACAGTTAATGTTCAAGCCTCAGCAGTCTTCAAGGTGTAAGCTTCATCAAGCACTTACTCTTTTGGTCAATTCGGAGATCATACAGAGGTGTCCTGTAAATGTCCACACTGGATAGTGCACAACGGGAGAGGGGCACGTGATGGGAAGGCCCAAGAATGAAAATTTTTCGGCTACAACAATTAACACAAAAGCCCACAGTTTAGATAAAAACAATTGTAGAGAGACCTGGCTTAGAGCAGCAAGTCTATTAAAAATACACAAAGCAATACCTTCTCACGGCTACAACTGTTTTACTCTGCTATCTGTAAGACCACAGATCAATCCATGGCTCAACCTTGCTCGGTATCTTAGAAATTATCAAGAGATCAGTTCAACAATGCTTCCTGCAGCCTTAAATCTCTTAAACAGGTTATATATCAGAGGGCAGTCAACAGCTAGAAATCTGTCTAACTCTACTCATTTGGAGGCTGAATGATGTGGTACAGCCCCTCAGAACAGATTTTTGAGTTCTCTCCTTGGATCAACAGAACCTTCAGCTACACACCACTACACACCACCTTCAACAACTATAGGAACGTGACCTCAAACAACAGTAATGGATTTATCATCTATTCAGAGCTTTTCACTTATTTAGTTGATTAGCCTTACTTCAGATTACACCAAATTAAAGTAATTCTCAAATGCCGTTTTTATCTATCTGTTGCATTAACAACAGGGACTTGGACCTGCACATTCATAGCTTTAGCTGATACTGCAACCTTTCACACGTCATCATGATGTTATTTCATCAAGTCCTCAGTTCCTGGCTCTTGATTAGATGCTTAGGGTCTCCTGCCACAGGACTTACAAGAAAAAAAGAAACAAAAAAATATAGGAAATTCAGCTTTTCTGATTCAGGATCGTATAATTTTTTTTCTGGCACTGAATAAAGGGGTGGGAGACATGTAAAGTTATGAGGTTGTTTTATCCCTTTACACACAGAGTGCTATTAGCAAGGTATACTAAAATACTATAACTTTCTGCAACGCTAATAAAAACAAAATATCCAAACATGCCATAATTCAGCTCAAAGATGAATTCTAAACACCCCATGTGGTAAAACAGCAAATGATCCATAAAGTTCAACTGACTCCATGCCACTGAAATTGGGGAATGCAACTTGTTCAGGAAATCTTAGAGGAACTGGGTTTCTCTAAAACTTATGTCCCACCAAAAAATTATTTTCAAATAGTTTAGAAAGAATTAAACCCATTGGCTTTGGAGACTATTACAACATGTTATCTCATGAAAAGCTGATAAACTTAGCCAGTTTTTATTTAGCATTGCAAAATACATACTTTGAGTAAATAGTGGAGATGCATTAAATATTTGCCACTTAAAAAAAAAGTTGCAGTAAGCAGAACATAAAAAGAATTATCTTCCTTTAACCAAAAATAACTGGAATCATCTTTTCAGAGGCAGGCACAGACTACAGTAGCATGCTGGAGGTTTTTTTAATTTTTCTTATTTTAAACTTGTTAGAAACAAAAGTCCATCTAAAATTATTGGAATGAATAACCATCGCTGACTTAAAATATTATATAAACACACTGATCACTTTCTCCACAACAGAAGAGAATCCTGGTAGTATTCAGCCCATGATCCTGCACTGAAAAACCAGTGCAGAATCATGGTCAAATATTTTAATAGACTTAAAAAACAACCAAACCCTCCCAATGACAACCAAAAAAACCCAAATCAAACCTATAACTCCAGAAAACCCCCTAAAAAAACACCTTAGGCTTTTATTACTGACATTCCACTGCTTTTATAAACTTATTACCTGCAAAAAGAACATCTTTAAGCCCTCCCTTGTTATAGTTACCAATATTTCAACAAATTCCTGAAAATGCTGCTTTACTTTTTCTATTTCTATTTCTATAATACTACATTTTTTTATTCTGTAATATCCAATTTATGACATTAAAACTGAAGGGATCCATAAAAGTCTAAAAAGAATACAAAATTAAAACACGAGTACTATGGGTAAGAATGTAAAAAGAATGCAAGAATGTAAAAAGAACATTCAGGGAACTGCAATGGCTTTGTCTCATGCTTTGTAAAGAAAAACTCATCCTTACGTGATATTGGGATCCACTTGTTTGTAAGCATGGGCTGCACAAGATCCACAATAGGTGTATCCTGCATGGCTGCAAACCAAGGTGTTCAAAATGTTAAAATGTTAAATATTGCTTAACATCTTAAATACGTTGATATTGCTATTAAATATTAATATCTTAAATATTTTTTTTGTCCCTAGTGAGCTGGAAATAGTAAGAATAATCTAAAAGCCAACTCCAGAAAGAACAGGAGAGCACTGCTGCAGTGTTCACACAAGCCATGTATTTGTTGAAGAACTATCAGTGACCGTTTACTGACCCATCAAAGAACCATCAATGACCATCTGACAGTAAACAAACATCCAAAACAAAGCCCCTTCCGTGACTCTTAGAAGACACTGGTGTGCAGACTGCACAACTGCACATTATCAGAAGCTCACCATAACACTAAGTGTGCAGCCAGGGGACAAGGGAATAGCAAACTGCTGGGGAAGGTTCTTCCAAACACATGGCAGTAACTGAATACTATAACAGTGTCGGAGTTTGGCAAGGAGAGAACTATATGTTACAGCAGATAAACCAGACAGTAAAAATGCTCTGTCATAAAAGAAGAACACCTGAGCAAGAGAATGAATGGGCACACAGACAGGAGTGGATTGCAGCATGCTAGTTTTTACAGCAAACATGATACGTGATTCATCATTTCTCATCACTGTTGCCTGGGGCCTTTCTTGACCTCTGTTTCTGTTTGCTCTCCAAAATAATTTTTAATTATTCTGACTACTTGTTTTAAATATCACATTCAAATCTTTAAGACCCATTCCCTTCAAAACTGTTGGAAACCAGTGAAAATTCACTTTACACTGCTAAAAGCATTAATTCCAGAGAACATTAATTCCCAAATTCAAGGTCAAGTGGTGCAAAACAGCTCACAGTCACTCAGCAGCATGCCCATGCCACATCACCCCCTCGAGCTCATCTGGAGCACCTGCAACCCCAGGTGAATAGTTACTGCTTATTTTGAGTCGAGTATGTGCAACAACACAACTACAGCTTTCCCAAAAGTCTTTTGACACAATGATACTGAGAATGATACATAATGCAAGTTCTGGGACATACAAGATATTTGAAGATACAAGTTCTCTTTTCATAGCACTGGAGGATTTTATACGTATGTATGCCCATACATACGTATAAAATCTGTACTCATCCACAGAGTGATACATGAAGCAAGTGTTATCCTCAAAATTACCCTGGGATTTTACTTCAATATGACCTACTCCACTCACTCTAAAGAGCTCAGAAGTGGCAAGGTATGTTACTTGACAATGTCAAAAGAGCCTGCTGCAAGGTTCCATCTGCTACAAGTTTCTTCAGTCTTCCACAGAAATATTATCAGACATATCCCAATTTACTGGTGGGGCAAAAAAAAAAAAAAAAAAGAAAAAAAAAAAAGGGGTATGGCTAATGGAAAAATTGCGGCAAGATGACAGGATCTAGCAATTCTGGAAAGACATCCCAGTTTACATAATCTGCAGCTGAAAAGTCTCTTTCCTGACATTCCTGCAAGAAAGACTAAGGCAGATGTGGGACAATTTCTTCTGGAAATTCAATACTATTATGGAATACTTCAAACATTATGTCAATGCTATGTTACCACAGGAAAAGCATCATATTTAAGGTGCTTTCTCTAGTGTTTCCTTCCAACTCATAATTAATTGGAATGACCAACATACTTTTCTCATTACATGTCTCAACTATCTTCAGGAAATTGAATTCTCTCTAAGTAGTTCAGCCTGTCCCTATTTCAGCTGTAGGAAAAAAAAAAACAACCAAACAAAACCAAACTAAAATAACAAACAAATCATTTTGGATAGCTGAATGTTTCATTACTTTTTGTTTTAAGCTTTGCTAAGTTTTAATTTGGGGGCAAGAGGGGTGGAAAAGTTTTGCTTATTTTGTTGTGGGTTTGGTTTTTTTCCTAGTAGATGTAGCTGTCCTACAATAAAAGAGCATTGAAAGGGCCATCACCTTTTAATAGCACTCCATCAATACACCACTTACTCATCTTATGAATAGTGTCTGCAGTCCATCAGCAAAAGGAAATTAATCATACACCAAAATGTGCACATATTTCTTCCATTCTATGGCATATTCAAAATGCTTATTCACATTATTCACAACATTCCTTTCAGCTAAATGCTATGTTTTACCAGTTTTCAAAATCACTCAAAACATACCAATTTTAAAAAAGCATTTAACCAATCAAGTGTTAACATATATTCTAAAAACAGATTTCACACTTACGGTGCAATAATGGCTCTTGCAGGTCTTTTTGTGGACTGTACTTGAGAAAGCCACCCTTCTAGTTGTGCATTCAGCTGGGGTCCTGTGAAGAGACAAGGAAATACTGAAGCCACAGAAAAATCTGATGTATCTCAAGAATTAACAAATAAAGCTTAAAAGTCCAGCAGATTTAAAAGTCACTTTAAACATTAAAGGCACGTTTAAATGTAAAACTAGACAGAAAAAACAGCACCCAAAAAGTCCCAATGCAACAACAAAAAAAAACCCCAATCCTGCAATGTTGGAGGTTACGGTAGTAAAGTTTCAATCTCCTGTCCTAGGAAGTTCATTTACTGCACATCCAAACACGCACTTACTGTTTCTTGCTCTGTGGGGACTAATGAACACACCATTTCACCACTAAGAAAGGATGGCTGCTGATTTCAAGAGAGGTGGTAACAGATGATTGATTACTCTGATAACTGTATTTGCAGAATTCAGAAGTAAAAATTTAAGATGATCTGCACCAAGAGAGCCCAGTATGGGAAGATAGAATACAAAGGCCTTACATTTTGACGAGACAGTCAATGGCTACGGTAATAAATCCTTTACTATTACGAAGCAAGTGTAAGAGCAGAATACAAACCACATGGTAACCTGGAAAATCTGAAAAATACACAGGAAAAAGCTAAAAGTGAGAAGACACCATGCTTATATTAGTGCCTTAACAGCTTCTGATCAATCAATATATACTACAAGTACATGAACACTTTGGCAACATGAACTTCGATAACTGGTCAATTCAGTATTTAAATTTTTTTAAAACTAAATTTAAAATACCTCAAGAAGTGTCAAATATTCTCAATTCAATCATGACAGTTGATAAAAATGCCTTCTAGAAATACAACAAAACAAACAAACAAACTACATTTTGATTACTTCCCATCACAAGAAAACTTTCTGATGTAAAGCTTGTCCTGAAGAGGCAAGCCTTGCAAACACAGTGCAACATTCGTTACACTAAAGAATGCGAAACAAGCTTTCAAATAAAACTCATTCAGCTGCCATTGTTAGAAGCAACACACCATTAACAAAGAGAAAATAGATGTGCTTTTTTCAGCAGACACTATGCTTTTGACAGAACTACATGTCAGCAGAGCTTATCTATAAAGTTTGGTACAGTAAGACACTTCTTCTTCCACGCTCATTGTAGATTTTTCTATCTTCCCCATGCAGGGGAACTATCAGCTGCCAGTTAAAGTCAAAAACAAATTAAGTATCCAAAACTGTTTCACAGATATGTTCCGAACAGTCCCAATCTCAAGCCGACACCTCTCCAAAAGGCTGACAAGAACTACAAAGCGCCAGAGCAAAGATGTCAACTTTTGCAGAATCCAATCAGTCAATGACCAGGCACAGGCAAAAAGCTTTCCCTAGAAAACCCATGTATGAAGGGTGAGGGTGTAAAAGCCACTGGTTTTTATACAAAACTTAAATCCATGTGCTTCCTGAAAAAGAACAACTTCTGTAGTTGTGAAGAGTCCAACACCATTTCCCTAAGCTTTCAATCATAACTTGAATGCCTTAGTTACTGTCTAGTGCTCTAACAAGGCAAAAGAGTGACGCTGATTAGCCATGTCTCACTCCTGTAACACAGTGATTTTGTGAAATGATGAAATTATTACCAAAAAACACCACACACCGATTTTGTTCTGCTGCTTCTGTTGCTTGGGGAAATTGCAAGCAGAGACATACTGTAGAGATAAGGATAACGACATCTTAGAAAATGGAGGCTGTTGGAAAGCTAAGTAAAAATAAAAAGACCTCTCTATTTCCATCCTCTTTTTAAGCTACTAGGAGACTAACAAAACAGTACTCTTTTACAATATTACCACTGTTATGTTATATACTTGAGTGAAGACACAAATCACCTAAAAAATTTTACTTCCTCAATCTCCTGAAGTAGGTAGAAGGGTAAGATTCTTTCTGAATGAAACTCTTTAGAAGGACACAGCTGGTTTTGTTTTGAGGGTTTTTTTCTTTAAACACTTACTACCCATGCTTAAACAAAATATTACTCTGCCCCACCTGACCCATCCTCCTCAAAGAAGAGGATCCACAGGCAGCACAACAGCAGAAGGGACAAAACTTGTCAGGCAAAAGGTGACTCTCTTCCCCAACAGGGCACTGTGCTTGACCTTCTTCCATCCCTTCTTTAGCAAGGATTTTTGATTAAGGAGGTGGTTAAGGCGATTTGTCTTTCGTTGAGACAAATCAGGTAACCTGCTAAACAGTTTAAAGACAAGGGTCAGAATCTCTGGTAATATCCTAAAGTTTCATGATTGGTCAAATCTGCCCAAACCTTCTGATCTTACAGTGTAGTAGCGGAGTAAGATGCCCAGGTTTGCTCAGACTGCTGTTACAGGCACACACTCTAACAATGCAACATTTTCTTCTTAGAGGCAGTAAAATAACAGGTCTGTATGACTCACAGGATGAAACTTCTGTCAGTATTTACTTAAGGACCAAGTAACATATCTACACTAAGAATTTTTTCCTTTAATGCAACTACAAGGTGTCTGTTTAAATAATTAACTTCAACCTAATGTAAGCTTTCAACTTACACTTATCCGCTCTATTTTAACAAAATACGTAATCAGATCTCTCAGAGAAAGAATGAAGAGTACAAATATCCATCTGACCTTTTAGCTGAAGGAGGGGAGGTGGAAATCAAACAGCACCCACGTGAACTGTCAGGAGTAGCAGATTCCTATGCTTACAAATACTTTAAGGGCAATACTCTAGAACTGTAATTTTCTTGTTACTAAATTAGCATCAACTTTTTCTTGAATTGCTCAGAGAAGTTTTTCTTCAGATTTCTCAAACACGAGGATGCTTAAGGCTAAAGTCAAAATATTTGAATTGGATATACAAAATATAAATAAACCCACACTATCACAGTAGCTATGCTCTGCCATATGGAATTGGAGATGAGTAGCTTCTTCACAAAGCACTCTATAAGCAAGTTTTTTGTCATATTTAAATCAAGTTAAACTGCAAAAACAGTCTTTGCACATAATCATCATGACAACTGTAGTAAAGATGCATCTCCTAAGCTGACCAGCTTGGACTATGAATGGTGTTGCTGCCCATGTATCCTCTTGCTGTGGTGGTGGGAAGTAGAAGAGGTCCCACCTCCTTGAGCCTCACATAGAAGGCCCAGCTGGAGATAAGATGGCAGGAGAGCAACAGGGGGCTTAAGAGTAACCCAGGCAGAAGGACAGAAAACCTTACGGATGCAATTTCTGGATGCAACAATCAATACACTTTAGCATTAATACCGTAACATCAGACCTTTTATTGACAACAGGAAGATCAGAAAGCAAAATATGAGCTTCACTGAAGTACATAGCATTAAGATCTGCATTTCAATCCTATGAAGGCAGGTATAAATATAGGCATGTAACTAAAGATTTCTGACACTATCTGTGGATATTTCACATCCTGTTTTATTCTGAAAACCAGCAGAAATTATGTCAAATTTTACAATAATTGCAAGCACATACCAAGTCTCCACTAGGCAAAGATACAGACACAGCTACCAGCAGCATTTATTCAAGTATCTTGCCTAAAAGGATAAACTATGTTTATAATCAGCATTATCCCATCACAAAGCTCTAGAGTAAGTAAGAAAGAATCCTTCCACGTTAAATGCATGCCACTGTTACCCAGTGAATAATAACACCAAACACGCAGTAGTGACATGGTTACGTACACCACCAGTTTACAGCTGACGTGGTCCAGGCTTTGTGGGTTAAGCCAAACCAGCACATTCTTTCCACAGCCAACCTCACCTTGTCAGTGAGGCTGAAGTGCTTATATGCCGAGTGTCAAGACAATATAATGGGAATTTGCTACTTTTCTGGCAGCCACCATTACTTGTACAAAACATACAGTTTCAAGAGTGGTAGGAAAGATTCAGTGTTTATTCTGAATCCTCAGTCTCAGTGAACACTTTTCTTACTGGAACAGGAGAAGCCTGAACTGAAATTCAGAGCAGCACCAAGGAAAATTGCTCAGGTCTCCCTTGGCTGCACATGTACAGCACTTGCAGCAATCCAAGTAATGCTGGAGCACAATGACAGTAACGCTGCAGTCCCCAAGCCTTCACAGTTCTACTTGACAGCTTTTACATGTCTCCTACCCTACAGGAACAAACACCTTTTGCTGAGTATTCCTCAGCAAAATCTTTAAACTACCTTTAGCCATTGGTGAGAAAGTCTACACCTCGCAAATGCTTCTAATAAATATTACAGCATACGTGGTTAGAAGTAAGTCTTTATTCTTGTGGAGTGTTAGAAAAATTAAAGTGATGGTGAAACTCTGGGGGCTGGCCTGCAATTAGTTTAATAACTGGAACCAAGGGAACTCTTCTCTCACAATTTTGAAGGGGAATCCAAAATTCAGTTGTTAGGCAAAATCAAATATGAAACATCAGACTAACTCGTTTCTCAGCTAAAAATGCAGAAAGTATAAGGATTTTTCCAAGGACACAAACCTCACTTGCAAAAAAAAAAAAAAAATCTGTTTCTTAACAAAAGCCAAATCCTTGAATAAAAAAAACATGTTTTAGCTATGCAAAGACTAGAATTTGTCAGGAATAGAATGTGATTTTCAACAACTCATGCTGACGGGCACATTCTCTATCGCTAGCATACACTCTCTTCCAGCACTGATAAAATTAGAAATGAGATTATAAGCAAGTCAGAAATTTACCTGGGTAAACTAGGACCAGGAAAAAAAAAATAATGTACAAATAGAGATTACATTGATGCTACATAAATTCCTATTTATACACATTGTCAGATGGAAATAAAAGCACCAGGTAATGCTTAAATGGGGGAAAAAAACTCTGAAGCTACAACAAAGACATTGAAACAGAAAACAAAATCTGCTTTGGTGGTAGTTCTTACTTGCATGTCCCAGTTTTGCAGTATTCCACTAACTCTTGAATTTCCTTTACTGAAAGTTAATAGGAAATTAAAAGATCAAACTATAACATCACTCATTAAGAATATCAACCAACATGCACCTACGTAGCTT